GAGAAGAACCAACCCTTGTGAAGCCATTTTCGTGCATCTTTCTTGAGTCAGACTTGAGGGGCTGTGTTGAGCTCCAAGAGCATCTCCTTCTCTGTTTTAAGCCTTTGGTATGTATACCAACCTTTGATCTTGAGTTTAATGCTTAAAAATGAAAGCTTGATGCATGTTAAGGTCAAAAGATGATAACTTGTTGTGGGGTAATGTTGAACACACCTAGAAATGCATGTTTAGGTGTTTAAAATCGGTAAAAACCCAACCTTGGAAGGATATCTTCACGAAAATGCAGAAACTGCATTCTGTCGTGAAATATCCGGATATCGGCCCGTGGGATATCCGGATATGGGATATCCGGATATGGGATATCCGGATATGATATCCGGATATGTGTATTCGGATATGGGGTTTTGGGATATCTGGATAATAGATATCCGGATATGGGATTCTGGATATCCGGATATTGCATATCCGGATATGTCCAGTGAGATATCCGGATATTGCATATCCGGATATGGTCCCGAGGAATATCCGGATATTCTGGGATTTCGTAGAACAGTAGCTGTGCTGTGTGTACAGTAGGCTATTGGGGGTTTGTGGACCCTAGATTGATGAAGTTGAATTTCTGTATTTAATGGACTAAGCCAGAATCATGGGATTAAAGGCTTGTGGCTTTGTTAGAAGCTTTAAGACTTGAAAACGTAATGAAAAGGCGTTGTCTTAATATTGTATGCTTGTGGTGCATGTTGTTGATGTATTGTTGGTCCATAACAGATTGTGAATCTGCTGTGTTTGGACTTTGAGCTGTGGACTCTTGGCTTTTGGAGTTAGCTTGCAAGGTAAGCTTTCGTGTCCTCGTTTTAGCCATGTTGTGGTTCCACCATGTCCCATGGGGGTATGGTTTATGCATGCTGTGTACATGCTTTTGGATATTTGATATGTTGATTGAACTTTACATGTAATGGCTTTTAATATGCATGTGTTGTTTCATCTTGACGGGAAGCCTGAGTATGTAGCGCCATACAAGACGGTGTACCGGGGTGAATGCAAGTGGTACTTTCACGGTGTGTAGGTGATAGACGTATACCTGCACTGTCTCTGGCCAGTAGATTAGTATTGACACACATGACATGATTATCTGCTGCATTGCATTGTTTTAGAAATGATAAATGATAAACTGCTTTTGAACTTATATTGCACATGTAAGTGAGCTTGGGGTGGAAGATCCTTGAGGACTCACTGACTTACTGAGATTTCTAGATTAGAGATCTTACCCCACGTTTGGGGAATGCTTATTTCAGGATCAGGTAGTATGGGTACTGATGCCTCAGGCGGCAGGAGGCCGGAGCTTAGCTGATTATGTTTTACTGCTTTATGTTAGCATGACTGGATTTGGATGCTGTTTATGTTTTCCGCTATTTATGATATGTTGTTGTTGAGACTGATGTTGGCATGTTGCCTTATTTGAGTGAGCATGGGGATTGTCCATGACACTTTATGTTAGTGCTTTTGATTTGGAGTTGTATAAACTAATAGATGGTCCGGTCTATGTTGTTGTAGTTCCGTGACTAGAGCCACACTTTTATTATCTATGTTTTGAGATATTTCAGTTAGCTGTTTATTTGCAACTACATACAGGTGATATTTTATTAATTGATTATTAAGCAAGCTGGTAATGTTAATGACATCATAATTGAAAAGAAAAAGTAATTCCGCATTTTTAATTAAGCGCAGCTTAATACGATATTATGATAACATTGCCGGATATATACGGGGTGTTACACTTATCCCTCTTGGTGTCTTTAATAGAGACCGAACAGAGTTGAAATACAAGATATTCCATCTCATGGTTCATAGCTTTGAGCAACATTTGATCAAAAATATCTTTTAGAGCACTATCGTATCAATGTTACTCAAAAAGAGGTAACTCGAGAGTTAACAAGGTTCTCTCCCACTACGAATGTACCACCCTAGACCTTGTGTATCTACAGGAAGATCCAAGTTCTGGGTCAGGTTGTGGATCTTCAATTTCTCGATTATCCACATATTATGTATTAACAAATCCTTAATATTTTTCTTCCACATGTGATACTAATAATTCTACTAGTTCAACTTGTATATTATCATGTTGAATTTTCAATTATGGTTCTCATGTTTGTTCACCCGAAGGTATATATCCAAAGGTATATATTACTATATTTTCCCTCTTTGAACAATCATAGGAACGGAGGATGGAGCTTCTAGAGATTTTTGAAATTTTTGATCTGAGATAAGTCTCATCAAGAATAACCTTACTCAAGGGCTTTTAATTTCTCATCTAGTCCTCCTATAAGAAAATCGCGTAAGTGCCCACTTAGATCATCTTATCCTTTGAACTAAATAAGATCCCATTCCTGGTTCTCTTAGGGTGCCAAAAGATATGCACACTTCCATACAAGATTCCATCTTATTTAAAGGTTGTTGTAGGAAGTGTGCCGGAGCACCCTAAATACGAATATGGTTTAAACTAGGCTTGCACCCTTTTCATAATTCTTTAGATGTCTTTACTCTGTACTACAAACTTTGATGGAACCAAGTTAAGAAGCTATATTGCCTTCTCCTAGACATCTCCCCAAAACGACATTGGAAAGGATGAATAACTAAACATGGACTTTACTAAGTTTAAAAATATTTGATTTCTACATATTGTAACTTCATTCAACCAATGTGTTTCTAGAGTTGACAAAATATCCCCTCTTAAATCAGGTAAGCCTGAACGTACTAGACAAGTATTCAACACTTCATTCAGACCAAAATATTTTGGTTTGGACACCTAAATGCTTTTCTGCCAAGGACTTAAATGACAACTTATTAATATAGTGAACATCAAAGAGAGATTCACAAATATAGGCTTACCATTGTGAAGGAGAACCATGATTTTCTTGTGAATCGAGTTCAATTAGATTTTCTAATAATGTTTGGGGCCAATCATCAAATCAAACTTCAAGAATATTTCATGATCTAAAGTTGTGATGCATGCCAAACCAGACTCTTGCAGCCCATGGGCATGTTAATAAAATGAATATATGCTCAACTAGCATATATTATATTTTGAGTAAATACCCTTTTTGGTCCTCAACAAATTTCACGAGGTCCGTTTTAGTCCCTAGCAAATAAAAAGGCCCATCGTGGTCCCTAAAAAAATTCAAAATTGACCTATTTAGTTGAAATTGTGGTCCCTCACAAATTCAAAAAAGACCCATATTAGTCCTCAAAAGGACTAAAATGGGTCCATTTTGAATTTTTTAGGGACCACGATGAGCCTTTTTATTTGCTAGGGACTAAAATGGGGCTCGTGAAATTTGCTAAGGACCAAAAATGGTATTTACTCTTATATTTTTACATGGAATATGGTATATGACATGATACTCCGATACGTTAATTTTAAAAAATATTATATTTTAATATATTAAAACATGTTTTGATATTAAATAATATTTTAATTTATGCAATGTATATTATATTTAATATTTAATAATTTAATAAAAAAATGAAGCGAAACTTATAATAACCATCAATTTTGCAAAGAAACATAAGATATCACAAATATTTATATTAAATTTAATAAAATAATCATCGTAATCCAACAAATGTAATAGTTGAAACTATAAATATAACGCAACACATAATTCGATCCTTTTTTTAAGTCTATGTAATGTGTGTTGGAATATCGGGGAGTATCGAATACGATATGCCAATTTTTTTGAAATATTTTGCATGATAATCAACAAATGACGACATAACTGGCGAGTAATAATAATAATAATAAGCACTTCGTCAAAATCTCCGCCTGACAATTTTATCATGCGTGACTATCATGAAAAGATATACTTATATAATACAAACAAAAACTTAAATATATTAAATTTCCAAACTTAATTATTTTATATTTATGGAAACTTTTTTTAATCTTGTCCTCCTTAAGCCATGTTAGCTGCACTATTGAGACGTGGCTGTCACATGGGAGAACAGAATAAGTCTTGCTTATATTGCATCAAATTAGTAGTATAATTTTAATATTAAATAAGAAATTAAATCAAATAATAATTAACGTCATAAACAATTTTTATATTTTTTATATTTTGAAATTTTTATAAATTTAAAATATTGTATTGATTATTAACAATCACAATATCGGAATTTTTTTTAATTAATATATAAATAATTACTTTAAAAAATTAAAAATTGATATTATATTTAAAATGATAAATATTAATATTATTGAGTGCAATAATATTTAACACCATGAATAAATAATACAATATATTTTCTGAAAAGATATTTTTAAAAAATAAGATTTTTTATGCAAATAAATAAAGAAAACAATTAATTAATAAATTATCATTTATACAATAAATCTGATATTTTTGAATTTATATAATTATTTAAAAAAATTAATGGACAATAATTATTTATTAGTATTATTATTTAACTCAATAAATAATTATTGTCCATTAATAAAATAAAATAATAAATTAATTCAATAAATTTTATGTAAAATAAGAAAATAAAGATAGAATGAAAAATTAAATTTAAGACAGATACCAAAAAAAAAAAATGAAATTTAAGACGGAATAGCATTCAGCCACGTGACAAACCCGCTCAGCAAGCCTTAAAAGGGAAGATTGAAAAAAAATAAAAAAATCAATAGATTGAAATTCAAATATGTGAATTATTATTTTTATTTTTTAAAAAAAATTTGAAATTTTTTTTAGGATCGGACCGAGTCATCTGTCAGTTTTTATGAAAATCGACCGGATCAGTTCTGATGCATGACCGATCTATTATTTCAACCGGCTCGATTATATGACCGATTTACTAGTTATCGGACCGATCTGGCCGGATCGGTTCAATTTTATTTGAATAGCTGTTTAGAAAAATGAGATATTTTGATTTTGTGCCTTGAAATTGAGGTTATAAGCCTGCATGCTTAAAAAGTTGATCAAGAAACAGAAAGGCCAAGCATGAGAAATCATCTCTTAGAAGAGTGTATAAATTTTCTTCATTACATGATGTAAAGCATACCAACAGGTCTAGTTTTGTGGACTACACCAACTGATAATAGAACTTTATAATAATGCAGAAAAGACTCGATTACAAGACCAACACACACACATCAAAGATACATCTTTAGTATTTCAAAACCAATATATTCATGCAACAAAGCATGAAGTTACCTCGGTTACTTAATACTTTATTTGAAATGTGAAAAGCACACAAACAACGAAAGACAAGTACTTTACTATCATGCCTCCAATCTACTCAATGCCTATCCTCTTTCTTATCTCTACAATGAAATCATAGACTTTGTCCTGCTCAGGAAGAGACTTGGAAACACTCTCTTTCTGCATGCACCTCTTGACCCAAGCAATAAACTTGGGGCACTCGCTCTCCGTCGTGAAGTTGCCAAAAGTCTCATAAGCTTTAAACCAAGTGTAGAATGGAACAAGTGCTAAATCCACAAAGCCAATCTTGTCTCCTCCAAAATAAGTCTTGTCTCCAAGCTGTTCCTCCAACAATTTAATGGCATCTATGAAGTCCTTCTTGGCAGCTTCTTGTTCTTCTCCTTTTGTTGTCCAAAGCTTCCTTCCAATTTCATATATCTATTTGACAATTGAGCATAAACACACTCAATTAGACCATAAAATGCAACAATGAGAAAGGGGAAGGACCACTAACGACCAATACTTAACTAATATCTATCACAGCTATACTAGAAGAGTTGTTAAAGATAATCCAGATGCTTTTTGTTGTTTGACATAAGAGGCACTTACTGTCTAATGACTCTCTAATAAACAGGATCTTTTGCTACATATAGATAAAGTAGGCAGAGGAATATTAAAAAAACAAAAGAACAAAACTTTCAAACAGGAAATGTAGTTCAACTAATAGTAATGACCAAAGATTGGTTGCGGAGAATCTTGAAAGAAAAAGGGTCTAATAAAAGTAGCTATTCATATTTCCTCATGGGGTCCATTTTCCACTAAAAGTATATCAATATATACTAAAAGCATATCAATAAAAGCAAAGGAAAAGAAATTGCAAGCAACAATCACAAAAATTAACACAAAAGGGTACCTTCTTGTCAACAAAATCAGCCCAGAATCTAGCCTGTGCTCTCTGGTAAGGATCAGAAGGCAACAAAGGAGATCTATCATTCCAGACCTCATCAATGTACTGAACAGCAATGAGAGACTCACAAATGGACTTTCCATTGTGGATAAGAACCGGGATTTTCTTGTGAACCGGGTTCATTTGGAGGAGCAGAGGACTCTTGTTCCTCAAGTCCTCTTCTTTGTACTCATATTTGATACCCTTTTCAGCAAGTGCAATTCTGATCCTCATCCCAAAAGGACTTGGCCAGAAATCTAGCAAAACCACCTCATCTGCCATTCCTATAGTTGAAAGATAGTACAGAAGTATGAAGAAATCACCAGAGCTAGAAGAAATGATTTGCAGTGAGAAGAAAAGGTATAGGCCTGTTTATTTATAGCGGCTTTAGAGTGAATAGTTTTAGGGACTTCATTATGAAAATGTAACTGAGTCAATGCGCAACTTTTTAGCTGCACCGCCAAAATCTTCTAGTTTAGATGTAGATTATTGTACGTTTTATGTGTACTAGCTAGAATGTCGTGGCAATTCGTTGAAGTTGTACATATTTAATTTTGTTTAGGTAAGATTTTGTGTTAAATACTTGTAAATATAAAAAGTTTATTTTAAAAGTCACTAAATATGATCTAGTAGTAATAAGGAATTTAGGTAATTTGTATTTAGTTTCTATTTTTGTATCATAAAACAAAAAATTTGGAGAGCTAACCCCATTATAATATAAATAATATATGCGATTTATAAAAAATAAAATAAAAAATGTCGTGGCATATTCTCGGATTTCCTATTTTATTTATTTATTTTATGGACAGAAAGCTAATGGCTAAGTTCTAGGACCTTCTAAGTTGAAACGTAATGAATATAGAGTTCCCACCGTGTGTCACGGCTTAAGTCAGCCAAGCATTCTTTCTTTCTTTCTTTCTTTTTTTTTTTCCCCCAAGGAAAACACTCCTTTTTGGATTCTAATCTATTATGCAATTCCATGTAGAAATGTGATGTAAGCAATTACATCATGGTATCAACTTCATCTTTTTTTTTTTTGGTAAATAATCAACTTCATCTTAATTCTTTACCAAATTGAAAACTTATAATCCTTTTTTTTATTTTGGAAAATATTTTTAAAACAATTGAAATATTCTGGTCAGTTGAAAACATCATACTTCAATTAGTTATACTTTAAAACTACAAACAATTTTAATTTTTCCGGCACAAACGATATAAATTCAAAAATATTAAATGTAATACAAAAAAGATTCATTTGATAATTCGGAATATTTTCCTAATAATCATATTATTTTACGAATAACTATAATATTCAAGTAATTATAGACTATCATTCATGAAACATAAATCATAATAAATATTTGAATTTTTTCTTCAAAAAAAATATATTAAAATATTATTATTGTCAATAAATTTGTCGCTTTTTAATTTGTAGGAATTCTTAAAAATCACGTCACACAAGTGATTAAGGTTTTTTTTTATAAACTAAAAGAAATTAATTTAAAAGAACACATCAAGTATTACATAAAGGAACAAAATTTAATTCCTAGAGGCTCGGGGAATAAACAAAAAATCTTCCTAATTTGCATGCTCTGTAAGAATAATTAACAACTGGCACAAGAATTTGCTTCATTGTACATGTGAATGAATTTCACTTGCCCATCTTGATATATCCATTCCCGTATTCTTGTCACAAGTGCCACTCACGGACTACATCACTAGCCTTAATGAGTAGAGTGATTACATTGATCGAATTACTTTCTACAACAACCTTCCTCTAGCCTTCACTCGAGGCCACCTCTAAACCTTTCAAAATATTGTGTTACTGTCAATGTTACTATAAATCAATTTCACGATAGATCGATTATGTTGATCTAACGGTTATATTTATTTTCATCTTTGTATGGTTATGATTGCCCATATTTAATATTTTATATTTATTTTTACCTTTGTATGATTATGATTTTCATATTTAATGTTTTCATATTAAATACGGGAAATCATAACCATATAAAGATGAAAATAAATTTAACCGTTGGATCAACATAATCGATCTAACGGTGAAATTAATTGGTAGTAACATAAATAGTAACCCTAATTGGTTGTTACCTTTGTTGTCAAAAACTTGTGTAAAAATGTAAAAACTTACGTTTTTATGTTTTTACTAGAGTGGTGCGTGTTAAAGCGTAAGTAAAAACCGTCCTTAGTAAAAACTGATAAAAACGACGTGTAAAAACTGTAAAAGCTTACGTTTTTACCGTTTTGACTGTTTTTACTTAAAACTAATTTTTTTTTAAAATAAAGATTTACAAAAAAAGAAATTAAAAAAAACCCTATATTTCATTTTTCCCAAATCATATGCACAATATATTGATATCTTTTTGTTTGGATATATGTATTTCATAATTATGTCCTATAAAGCTGCAATTCTACTATAAGTTATGCTATGAGAATCATTTTGTGTTTTTGAATCATTGTGTGCATTGAAAGAAGTGGAATGATATCCTGATAAACGATGATCCAAAATCTGCAGAATGTATGAAGCAGTTAGAGCATGTTGGTTATCCATTACTTGGTAGTTATCCCTGTTTATAATCTTGATACTTGGTTATCAATTTTTTTTTTCCGTTTTAGATAAATAAGTGGCTCAACACACATGTTCATTATGAGATTTTTTTTACATGCATATATATATATAAAATTTTGTATCTTGACCTCAAGTAGTAGAAAATAGAAACTTTACGTTTCGTGTCGTTTTTACGTTTTACGTTTCTACCACCCATTTTCGTTTCTACGTAGAAACTAGAGTTGGACAACATTGGTTGTTACAATATCCTGTCTTTTTTTAGAAAGAAAAAAGCTATACTTTAAAAATAGTATAACAAATTGAGGGTATATTTGTATGTTAATATCATTCTAATAAATGTGGTTAAATACACGTGACCATAGATCCTAATTTTTGTAGCATATCATGATAGATATATTTATATAATACTCGCGGAATTTTAAATATATTAACTTTTTGAACTTAATTATTTTAAATTTGGAAAATATTTCGTTTACAAATTTTTGTAAATTACATTATGTATTCCTAAAACTACATAGTGTAACCTAGTGTACTTTAGAGAGTATATAGTGTAATTTGTAAGAGTTTGTAAATAAAAAGTTTATAAATATTTATGGGAACTCTTTTTCAATCTCCCCGGGAGACGTGGGAAGAACCGAATAAGGGTCCGTTTGGATGAGCTTTTTTTTTCTTCAAAAGCCAAATATTTTTTTCAAAAACTAAATATTTTTATAAAACTATAAATAGCTTTAACTTTTGTAAAAAGTACTTTTAAAATAAGGAAGTGATAAAAGTTACTTTTTCTTAAAGCTGAAACAAACGACCCCTAAGTCTTGCTTAAATTGCATCAATTTGTATTTTTATTTTAATATTAAATAGGAAATTAAATTTTAATTTAAATGAGTTAAATAATATTATTATTTAACTATTTTTTATATTTTGAAATCATTATAAATTCAAAATATTATATTTTTTATTAATAATAGAAATTTATTATTTATTTTTTAATAATTAGTCTAAAATCTTTATTTATAAAATATTATTTTAAAAATTAAACAAATTGACATTATATGTAAAATGGGTATTAATAAGAAAAGTAATATTAAAATTATTAAATAAAGTAATATTTAAAACCATAAATAAACAGTACAATATTCTGAAAATATATTATTAAAAAAATAATATTTTTCTGCAAATAAAGAAATAAATTTTTAACTAATTATTATTTGATATGATAAATATGACATTTTTAAAGGAGAAGGTTATACTTACAACCTATTTTTGTTTACAACCATATCTTAACCGTTGATTTTCACCAAAGAACGTTTATTATTTTTCCTAATCAAACCCATTAATTAATATTTAATTTGCAATGAATGATAACCATTGATTGACGGAACTCAACGGTTAAGATATGGTTGTAAAATGTTGTAAACAAAAATAGGTTGTAAGTATAACCTTCCCTATTTTTAAATTTATAAGTATTATAAAAAATTAATGGGCAATAATAATTTATTATTATTTGTTATTATTTAACTCAATAATTAATTTTTAATATTTAATTTAATAATATAATTAAAGTATTAATTTAATCAAATTTATGTAAAATAAGAAAATAAAGATGGAAGGAAAAATAAAATTTAAGATGGAATAGGATTCAGCCACGTGACAAAATCGCTCAGGAAGACTTAAAAGGGCAGATTGAAAGAAAAAGAAGAAGAAAAATAATAATTTGTGGCATAGATTGAAAAGAGGTTTAAAAAAATGGTATATTTTGTAGGGTGTTCATCAACCAATTCAAACTGATTCAAACCGCGGTAACTGAACCGAAAAATCGATAACCGAATAAATCGAAAATCGAAAACCGAAAAAAAAATCATAAATTTTAATTAGATTAAATCTGTTTTCGAATAGGCCAATTCAAACTGATCTAATATATTAATTTCTCTCTACCTCTTTGACCTTTCCCCAATCATTAACTCAAAAATTTCTAAATCCAAGACCTATTAACCCATCAATTAAATTCAAGAAAAAATATAGTCACATCTCATAAACAAAATTTTATCTATGTAGAACTTCATGTCTCATTATAAAAAAAAACTATATTATCATTTAATGATACTTTTGTATTTCAAAATTATTTTTTCGACAAAACCAATATATATAAAAGATGTTATTTGCACAATAATCATAAAATTAATTTTATGATTTTTAAAAAACTGAAAACAGATCCCATCCAAACCGAAAAAAATTGAATTGGATCGGATCGAATTTGAAAAAAAATCTAAACTAAATAAATGATTACATGATCAAACCGAAAGAATTGGATTGGATAATTTTCGCTTTCAAAACGGATCCAATGACCGAAAAAATTGAGGTTAACTTGTTCATTGATGAGGATTCTAAGCCTGCATGCTTAAAGAAACAAAGAGGAAGCATTAGAAATCATCAATTAGGAGAGTACAATATGTCAAATACAGCTGCCAAAGGAAGGTGTATAAATTTTTTTCATTACATGATTTCAAGCATAACAACAGGTGTAGTTTTGGTGATTAGACCAACTGATAATAAAACTACATAATAATGAAGAAAAGACTCGATTACAAGACCAACACACACATCCAAGACCAACACACACATCCAAGATACATCTTAAGTATTTCAAAACCTACATATTCATGCAACAAAGCATGAACTTTGGCACATTTAAGTGACCTCGGTTACTAAATACTTTATATGAAAGGTGAAGCACACAAACAACGAAATACAAGTAATTACACTATTATGCCTCCAATCTACTCAATGCCCATCCTCTTTCTTCTCTCCACAATGAAATCATAGACTTTTTCCTGTTCAGGAAGAGACTTGGAAACACTTTCTTTCTGCATGCACCTCTTGGCCCAAGCTATAAACTTGGGGCACTCACTCTCTGTGTTAATGTTGCCAAAGATTTTATAGACTTTGAACCAACTGTAGAATGGAATAACTGCTACATCTACAAAACCAAACTTGTCTCCTCCAAAATAAGCCTTGTCTCCAAGCTGTTCCTCCAACAATTTAATGGCATCCATGAAGCCCTTCTTGGCAGCTTCTAGTTCTTCTCCTTTTGTTGTCCAAAGCTTCCTTCGTATATCATATATCTATTTGACATTTGAGAATAAACACACTCAATTAGACCATAAAATGCAAGAATGAAAAAGGGGAAGGACCACTAACAACCAATACTGACTACTATATATCACAGCTATACTAAAAGAGTTGTTAAAGATAATCCAAATGCTTTTTGTTGTTTGACATAAAAGGCACTTCCAGTCTAATCTCTAATAAACAGGATATTTTGCTACATATATATAAGGAGGCAGAGGAATACTATAAAAACAAAAGAACAAAACTTTCAAACAGGAAAAGTAGTTCAACTAATAGTAATGACCAAAGATTGGTTGTGGAGAATCTTGAAAGGAAAAGGTTCTAATAACAGTAGCTATTCCTATTTCCACTGTATGCATCTCACATTTCCCAATGACATCTAAAGGGTCAGAAATAATATTAGACGGCAACATGGTAGTAACCCAATTACATTATTGTATACTCAAAGCATATCAATAAGAGCAAAGGCAAAGAAATTACAAGTAACAATCACAAAAATTAACACAAAAGGGTACCTTCTTGTCGACCAAATCAGCCCAGAATCTAGCCTGTGCTCTCTGGTAAGGATCAGAAGGCAACAAAGGAGATCTATCATTCCAGACCTCATCAATGTACTGAACAGCAATGAGAGACTCACAAATGGGCTTGCCATTGTGAATGAGAACCGGGATTTTCTTGTGAACCGGGTTCATTTGGAGCAGCAGAGGACTCTTGTTAATCAAGTCCTCTTCTTTGTTTTCATACTTGATACCCTTCTCAGCAAGTGCAATCCTAACCCTCATCCCAAAGGGACTTGGCCAGAAATCCAGCAGAACCACCTCATCCGCCATTCTTATAGTACAAAAGTATGAAGAAATCACCAGAGCTAGAAGAATTGATTTGCAGTGAGAAGAAAAGTACAGTCCTGTTTATTTATAGTGGCTTTGGAGTGAATAGTTTTATGGACTTTAATATGAAATTGTAACTGAATCAATGCAAAATAAGCGCAACTTTTGTTTAGATGACTATTTTACGTTTTATGTGTACTGCAATGTCGTGGAAACCAAAGAGTATTTATTCGAGTGGTATGGATTTGATTCCGTTTAAGTAAAATTTTGTTTTCCAATCATTGTGAATATAAATAAATTTCTTTTATTTTATTTTATTTTTTATGGACAGAAAGCTAATGGCCAAGTTCTAGGACCTTCTAAGTTGAAAGGTAATCAATATTAGTGTTCCCGTGTGTCATGGCTTAAGTCAGCCAAGTATTGTTTTCTCTAATTCTTTTGGAATCTAATCTATTATTCAATTCCATGTAGAAATGTGATGTAAGCAATTACATCATGGTACCAACCAACTTCATCTTAATTCATTACCAAATTCAAAACTTGTTTTTTTTTGTTTGGAAAATATTTTAAAAATAATTCGGTCAGTTGAAAACATCATACTTCAATTAGTTATACTTTAAAAACCACAAATGATTTCAATTCGTCTGGCACAACCGATATAAATTCAAAAATATTAAATGTATTATAAAAAAATTCATTTGAAAATTCGAAATATTTTCGTAATAATCATATTATTTTATGAATAACTATAATATTCAAGTAATTATAGACTATCATTCACGAAACATAAATCATATTAAATATTTTAATTTTTCGGCAAAAATTTAAAAAAATTATTAAAACTGTTATAAATAATATAATTGTTATGGATTTATACCATATCTTAAGTACCTGTTTCAAGAATCCATTAAAGGATAATGACCCAATTATCCTAATAATATAAAACAGTAAGGCTGCTCAGGATAGAGCCTTTATCCAACAGAAAGAAAATTGAATCATACTACAATTAGGAGATCTACACAAGCCCAAGAGGTAACCCTTATAAATAAGAGATAAAAGACACCAGGTACACATTTTTTAACCTAATTACTATTATAGCCAATACTGTGCACACACCCACGTCTTGGCTATAAGCCTATTGTTTGTACGCAGTGATTGGAGTATTGGCTATAAGCCAACCTGGATACATATTTCTACGGTATCTCTGAGCGCATACCATACGGTATAGCAATACAGTTCGCTAGGACCAGACATTGGCGCCGTGAGGAACGATAAATTTCGATTCCCATTACACGATGACGAACACTCGTGCGACATCAAGCAATGCTCAACCCCCATCACCGCATCAATCTGCCATTGAGCATCTTCAACAGCTCGCCGACCCGATTTTGATGGATGTGTAGGTCAGAGAGGTCGGCACTGAGTCATTACACTTCACGGCCCGAAGCAACCCTGCGAAGGAGCCGGTACGTACCGCTGAATGAATAACCCAGAGCTGATGATCACATAGCTAACATTGCCTTGAATGCAATCCTTCAAAGGATGCAAGAGATGGAGAATAGGTTCCTGGCTCAACAGAAGTTGGATGCTCAAAGAACGAAGGCATTGGAAGCCGAGCTACGGAACCAGAATACTGAAGGTCGAGCTGGAAGAGAAAGCCAAGCTGGAAGAGAAGGCCGACCTACCACTGAAGGTCGACCTGAAGCTGGAGGACAAGAACACCGGAACCCAACAACTGAACAAGTTCAAGGCATTTACAACGAGAACCAACATGAAAACAGAGGTCAGGCCAACGACCAAGGAGATAACTATCTCCATGATGAAGAGGCTAATGACAATCCATTCACTCAGAGGCTCATGAACTTGACAATTCCGCCAAGGTTCAAAAGTGCCAAAATACCTCTTTACGACGGAAGTCAGAACCCAAACACTCACTTGGAGGAGTTCAAGATGGAGATACTGTTCAATGGGATAACTGGACCAAGGCCAGAATCTTTGCTATAAGCTTATATCCATAACCCACAAAAAAATTATTTCAAATTATAACTTCTCAAAATTATTAATTCCTTTCCATTAAGATAAATGTACAAGAGAGTGAGACAGACATACAATAAAAAGTTATATTTTTTTTCTTCGTGTCCTAATTTCCTTTCTTTTCTTCGTGTCCTAATTTCCTTTCTTTTCTTTCGATTATCTTTCCTGTCTTCTTATTATCTTTTAGTTTCATAACACGTTACGAGTACCATAGTCTCTACGGCATCAAACTCACCGTTTCCGAATTCTCTGCCACCCTCTCTCTTTTATCTCAATTTTGTTCTTGTGCGCCTTTGCACTTCAACACCACGCCAGATGGCGACCAATGCAGTCACTTGAACATCAATCTCCATGTGTTGTATTCTATTTAATAATTCACTAGCTGAAGTAAGCAGCATAACTTTCTATGGACCCCTATGTCGGCTTGCTTGTTGCTGAAAGCAAAAATTGAGTATTCTCCAATTATGTGTAATTATGAATTTTGCTGTATAATTTGCACATTTATAAAATATATATTTCTATGATGTTTGTTGGTTTATGAAATGCTTCAGTACTTGAAGATGCTGTTTTTGGGTGGTTAGTGAAGTTGAGGTTGGCTAATTTACTTTTGGTGGTTAGTGAACTCAGATTGTTTTAAATCATCCTTTTGCATCTAAAAATAAATAAATTCTCAAGTTTTTGTTATTTTTGCTCCTGAAGCATAATTTTTTTTTTATTTTGCACAAAAGGAGGTCTTAAATTTGCTCGTTAACGGATATCATGATGAGTGCAATTTGGTTAACTTAATTTATGCCGTCAAACACTATGATTCCATTTTAGTTTTATGCCCCAAGCCAAGGCGCCAGGTCTTTACCCGGATTTGGTGAAAAGTATGTCAGGGTCCCAATACGCAGATGAGCGAGCGTGGCGGACAAGCACAGCCCAGGAGTTAAGGATGCGATTGGGAAGTTGAAACATCAGAACTTTAACGGGTAAAATTGATGGAGTTAGCAGATGTTTTTGCTAGAAGGAAAGTGAATATTGTTCGTTTGAAGAAACTAAGTGGGCTGGAGAAAAGGTCAAGAAGTGGATGGAACTGGTTTCAAGTTATGGTACACAGGTATTAACAAGAGTCGAAATGGTGTTGGAATTATGATCGATAAAAATTCAAAGATAAAGTTGTGGACGTCACAAGGAAAGGCGACAGGATTATTCTGGTTAAGTTTGTAGTGGGAGATTTAATCCTGAATATCCTCAGTGTGTATGCACCCCCAAGTTGGATTGCAACCAATGGATAAAAGCCAATTTTGGGAAGACTTGGAGGAGATTTTGAGGGGAATACCTCGAGAGGAGAAGATTTTCTTAGGAGGAGATCTAAATGGTCATGTTGGTAAAAGCAATGAAGGTTTTGATAGAATTCATAGAGGTTTTGGCTATGGGACGAGAAACGAGACTGGAGAAGATATCTTGAATGTTGCACTAGCCTACGATTTGATGCTAGTGAACACATTTTTTCGAAAAAGGGAGTCACATCTAATCACCTATCATAGTGGCCAAAATCGTAGTCAACTTGATTTTTTTTCTGGCTAGAAGAGAAGATAGAACTTCTTGTGTCGACTGTAAGGTCTACCCTGGAGAGTGTGTCGCTACGCAACATAAGCTGGTAGTCCTGGAGGTTCGGTTCAACAAAGTACTTACAATGAGGAAGATGGCTCAAAACCCGAGGATAAGGTGGTGAAAGTTGAAGGAGGGAAAAGAGAGAGTTCAATGAAAGAATGTTGCACGAAGGACCTTGGGAGTTTGACGGAGGAGCAAATGCAATATGGAATGAGATGGCTATGTGTATTCAAAATATGGGAAGGAGGGTGTTGGAAGAAAGCAAAGAAAATGGATTTCATACAAAGGAAACATGGTGGTGGAATGGAGAGATGCAAGAGGCAATTAAACATAAGAAGGAGTGTTTTAGATCTTTGCATAAAAGTCCCAGTGAAGAGAACTGGAAAAACTTTAGATTGGTGAAAAAAAATGCTAAGAAAGAAGTGCGAGAAGCTAGAGGCAAGGTTTTCGCTGATTTGTATAAAAATTTTGGGAGCAAGGATGGTGAAAAAGGTATATATAAACTTGCAAAAATAAGGGATAAGAAAAGTAAAGACCTCACCCATGTTAGATGCATCAAGGATGAAAATCAAAAACTTTTGGTGAGAGATGAAGATGTAAATGAAAGATGGATGAACTACTTTAACAAGCTGTTTAATGTGGATGGAGATATAAGCGAGGTGGACTTGGAGGACGCTTATGACGATTTGAATAGAATATTTGTCCGCATAATTAATACACATGAAGTTAAGGAGGCTTTAAAGAGGATGAAGACTAATAAAGCCTTGGGACCTGATGGTGTTCCTATTGAAGTGTGGAGAGGCCTGAGGGATGTGGCAATAAAATGGTTGACAAATCTCTTCAATAAGATTCTCCAGACAAATAAGATGCTTGATGCATGGAGGAAAAGTATGATTGTGCCTATCTACAAAAACAAGGGAGATATACAGAATTGTTCAAACTATAGAGACATTAAGCTAATGAGCCATACTATGAAGTTGTGGGAGAGGGTTATTGAGCATCGCTTAAGGAGAGATACCAAGGTTTCTGTAAATCAATTTGGATTAATGCCAGGAAGATATACCATGGAAGCCATTTTCTTGATGCAACAACTAATGGAAAGATATCAAGAAAAGAAGAAAGACCTACATATGGTGTTCATAGACCTTGAGAAAGCATACGATAGGGTTCCAAGGAAAGTTTTGTGGTGGGTTCTGGAGAAGAAAAAGGTACCATCAAAATATGTAAAGGCAATCAAGGATATGTATGATGGGGCTACTACATGTATGAAATCTTGTAACGGAACATCCAGTTATTTCCCTATCCCGGTTGGTGTGCACCAAGTGTCGGCTCTAAATCCTTATCTCTTTACCTTAGTTATGGATGAACTAACAAAAGATATTTAAGAGAAAGTGACATGGTGTATGCTTTTTGCAGACGATATTGTGCTTATTAATGAGAGCAAGGATGGTGTTAATAGAAAACTTGAACTGTGGAGGAGCACATTGAAATCTAAAGGATTCACATTAAGTCGAAGCAAGACTGATATCTGAAGTGTGAGTTTTCTCTGGTAAGAGATGTAGACCAAGATCCC